CCATTAAATACTCAAGTGGTTATAAATCTTTATTAGATGATTTATTTTTATTATAAACTTATAAAGAATCTAAATGTGTTTATTTAACAAATTTAGTGACTGTACTATTGAATTTAAATCCAAAATAATCTTTATATTATTTATCAGTCATTTGACTTTTAAGAAAATACTATAATTTTCTATTCTTTTCATCATTTATAAATTGCTTTTAATTCTTACTGTTTTATAATATCTTCTTTTAAAACTTTTATTTCTAATCGCCATTATTAATATTATTTTAAGAAAAGTCTAATTCCTCTTCATTTAAGGCTTTATAATACTATAATCCATATAATTGGCTTTTTCTCCTCATTTAAGATTACCATCCAATCATTTTTACCGAAAACTTAAGTTTTGCCATTAATTTCTTCTTCTTTTCTTACTTTTATATTAGATTATCATATTAGACATTATAAAATCTATGGTTTTTTTATAAATGACTTGGTGAGCCTTATTAATAGCTTGATTATGATATATCTTTATCCGGTGTATTTAATTTAGATTAAGAACGATTAAAATATATAGATTAATTATTCTATATACGTTAGATTGCTTTTGCTTTAGGAGTGCCAACTCTACCTTAGTTATCGTTTTTTTAAACGTTTTACGAATTTAAACGACTTCTTATCTCTAATTTAAGATTTTTTGGCGATTCTTTAATTTCTTAATTGTCTAAAACCTATAATTTTTACTAAAGATTTTTTTAAATGCAATTCAAAATTTAGTCCTTTTCTTCTAAATCAAACGTTTACTTATTCTTTATATTTACTTGTTTATATATGTGTTATTTTATTATAGTTTTTGGTAAAATTTATTAATATTTTAAGGATTTTTAACTCTGAAGTCCCGTTTAAGTACAATAACAAGACTTTCTTCGAAATTTTATTTTTTAATGTTTTTCATCATAAAGGCACTTTTTAAAAAACTCTAAAACACTATTTTATCCTTTTGTTTTTTATTTTTTGTTTATTTTTATTTTTAAATAAAAATACTATTAAAATTATGGCTTTTTTTGTTAGATCTTTCAGATACGAAATACATATTATTAGTTTAAGAACTACTTAGTCTTTATTATATTCTAATTATTTTCTCCTTATTATTTTAATCCTTTTGAATTTTATTTAAATTAGTTCTTTTACAATTTAATTAATATTCATTTTCTTTGGTATCTATTCGTTTTATTAATTTATGTTTATTATTTACATCTTCTTTTTTTTTTTTAAAAAAAAAAAAAAAAAATCGGAGTTTTTTAACAAAAATATAAAAGGTTTTTATATTTTTTACTAACTCCATTTTATAAGTTTTTTATATTGTTTTCTTAAAGACCATTTATTTATAACAAAGGAGACTATGGCTTTTTAGAACGTCTTTAACTTTATTAAACTTATGTTTATTTTTGAAGCATTTTTCTTTATTATTTATAATTAATAAAAATTAATATTAATTAAATTTTATAACTTAAATTATTATTCTTTTTTTAAAAATAAATAATATAATATAATATAATATAATAATCAATTTTCTGTAAATATATTATATATTAATATTTAAATATTTAAAAAACTAATATTACTATAATATATAGTATATATCGAACGAAAAAAATAAAGGCCTTCTTTATAATCACTTTAAAATAAGTAAAAATTCGATATAAAAAAAATAAAAAAATAAAAACATTTCATTTTTTTTTTTTTTTTTAACTACCCAATTTTATAAAATATTTAAAACTTAATTTAACAAATACCATACAAATATATATATATATAAAATCAAACAAAATATTAAATATAATAAAATTTTAATTTAATAAAAAATGTCATAACAAAAAGTAAAAGAAATAATATTAAAACAAAAATTATTTTTTTACATATCAAATGGTATATATTCAAATTAATCTTATTAATTCTATAAGAGAAAAAAAGAATACATAAACCGAAATTAAAAATTTCAAAACCCACCTCATCCCCCCCCCCTTACCAAGACAATGTCAAAAAATAAACCACATATTCAGGCAATGAAAATAGAAGCAAGGAAACATTTTCAATATATATATATATATATATATATATATATATATATATATATATATATATATATATATATATATTTATTTTACAATAAAAAATAAGGTTTTTTCCTATTAAAAAATAATAAATTATAATAATTTGAATATATTTTGATATCAAAAATAAGTAAATAATTTAAATTATAATATTTAAATAAAGAATATCTTCTTTAATATTGATTTATGATAAAGCAATTTAAATAAAAAAAAACGATATAAGATTTAGTGATTATTTTTTCTTAAAAAAATAAATATTGAAGAAGAAGAAAGAATAAAATTAACGAATCGGAATATCGGAATAATTAATTATTAAAATCAAGAAAAAATTTGAAGATAAAAAAATAATGAATATAATTTAATTATAGATTTCTATTTTTTATTATTGTATAGATAATACACCTAAAACTAAATAAGATTCTTTGTTTTGAAGAAAAAGCTAAAAAAATAAAAAACTAAATATAATAAAATAAATATATTAATAAATGAATATATATTTGTAGTATATATAATTATTATATATATATACAAATAAAATATAAATATAAAATATATATATATATTTATATATATATATATATATAATTTATTTAAAGTTTTTATATTTAAAATATAATTATGATTTTATAATCAAATATTCCTATTTTATAATCTCACGACAATATTTTAAATTCCTATTTATTGAATAACTTAGAAAGTATAATATTTTCTTTTATTAAAATGTTTATTTATAATATTTTATAAATAATTATATTTATATTTTTCTTAATATACATAATTAAAATTATTTTTTTTATATTTTTTTTTTATATAATATTATTTGTCCTTTAAGATCTATAATATTGCATCTTACAATTAACTCATTATTTATTGTATTATAAAAAATATAATTAATTTAATGATTATATATTATATATAGGAAAACATTAGATTTATAAAATTTTTAAACCTTCTATTTTTTTAATAAATAATATCTAATTAATTTATTTTTATTTTTTATTTAATATAGTTGAATAAAGACTAAATAATAGCTCTATAAATTTTCAGACTTATTAAAATAAAAAAAACTATATATAAAAATTAATATACCTTAATTTTTTATATTTATCATCTATTTTAAAAATCGCATTTAAAACTTTTAAAACTCTTTAGAAAATGAAAAAATAAACATTATGATCATATGGTTAACTATATTGAAAGAAGGAAAGATCTATTAATATAAAAAAAATTATATAATATTTTATGTTTTATATTTAAAATATTATCAAATACTTGTTTATTAACTATATTATAATTATTTGATTTATTTTTACTCAAAAAAATAAATATATATCTTAATCTTTTTAATATTTTTTATGTTTTAAAAAAGTTATAAAAATAACATATTAATTAATGAATATTACTATATATCATTAATTTTAATTAGATTCAAACAAAAATAAAGAAATTAAAATAACTTTATGAAATTTTATAATTAAAGTTAGTTCTTTTATTTTTTTTTAATTTTAATTGATTAACTCATTAAATAAAAAAATTTCGAATAAAAATAAAACAATAAAATGAATTATTAATTTAAATAAACTATAAAATAATAAAATATATATTTTATTAAAAATTTTCATGCCAAAAACAATGTAAATTCAATTAGGAATTTTTGTTGAAATAGCTAATAATCAAACTATTTAGCATTTTGAATGTTTTTTTTTTAAAAAAAAACAACCGCAAATCCCTTAAAATATAAAAATTTACAATAAATTAAAAAAAAAAAAGAAATATCTTAAAACAAAAGTATTTAATTTATATAATGTAAATAAACATTATATTGAATAAAATAAATATAATTAATTTTTAAAAATCAATTAATTTATTTAGAAAAAAATTTTCAAAAACATATTGTTTTTTCTAAAATATAATATTAATTAAGATATAATTAAATAAAATAAAATTTAAAAATAAATAAAATAATATTAATATATATATATTTAATTACATAAATACAAATAATTATAAAAATATATATAATTAAAAATAATATTATATATATATATTTAAATATATATTTATATAATTTAAGTCTTCATTGATTAATATCTTACAAATTGTTTTTTAAGTAAAACAACAACAAAATATTAATTAAACAATATGTTGTTAAAAATATTTTTTAAATATGAAAATAATTGAGTTAAAAAAAAACATATATAATTAATTTTTAATGAAAATATAAGAATTCAGTATATAATTATTATTTTCTTACTAACTTATATTTTAAAATCAATTATTTTTATAATTAAAATAAAATAATTGTATTAAAATTTAAATTATAAATTACGTATCTTCACGAATTTATCTTTAATTATAACTACATAATAATAAAAAAGAATATTACTAAATAGATTTACTTAAAAAAAATAATAATAAAATAAAATATATATATTTATATATATATATTATTAAAAATTTTTTTAAAATAAAATATATATATATATATATATATATATATATTTATATATATATATATATATATATATATATATTATTAAGATATTTCTTAATAAAGAATATAGATATATTATTAAGAATTTTCTTAAAATATATATATATATATATTTTATTAAGTTTTTTTCTTAAAAAAAGTATATATAATATTAGTTTATTTCTTAAATATAAGTTTCGGTCTAATTTTTTTAATATAAAATAAAATTAATATTAGGTATATATATAATTTATATTTAAATACATATATATATATATATATATTTAATATTTATTAATTATTTTTTACAAATTTTTTTCTTATATTTTAAAAATGAAATAACTATATATTATAAACAATAATATTTTAAACAAATTATTTTATTTTTAAACGAAAATGGTTGTTTTTAAAAAGCTAAAATCATTTAAATTCTATTTTTGATAATTAATACATATTTATATTTAACAATGATATATTATTATTTTAATAAAAATACAAAAAAATAAAACATAAATATAAAAAAGCAACATATTCTCATTAACATAATAACCTAGTAACAGTCCAATTGAATCCATAATACGATACATGATCTTATAAACTAGTTTAAGAAGATACACCTGAAGCACAATTACTATCCTCAGGCTTTTCACAAAACGTATACTTCTCATTTTCATTGAAAGATTTATAAAAAATCTCATATCCAAAATGATAATAATTTAAAAAAATAGGTCCTAATCCAACTATAGGATCTTTATTATGGGTAACTCTTCCTTTAGAAATCGAAAATAATTCATTTTTTTAAAGCCATAATCCGAATTACTTATTTCCTACTCTGGGTTAACCGAATGTGTAAAAAGCATCAAGTTATTTTTTACCATTCCATTCATATACTTCGGGTAAGAATAAAGTAGCTAAAGCTCCTCCTAAGCTATGCCCAGTAAGAAAGACTTTACTTGAAGGATATTTTTATTAGAGTTCTTAAAAAGCTTATTAAATCTTATCCTTTATTCCTTAAAAAGCCGAATAGAAACCTTTATGGACTTTACATTAATCACATTTATCATAAGCTACTTATAATGCATTTATATCTGTTATTAAATTAATCATAGTAACTGTACCTCTAAAAGCTATTACTATTGCATTATCATCTTTTGAATATCCTAATATAGCTGAGTTATTATTAGATGATAATTCATAGTGAACATAAGTTAGTTTTGATGATTTATTACAAGCCAAACCACAAGTCCATTATACTAGCTTTTAAGAATTACAATATGAAGCAGATGAATAATAAGCTAGTTTTATAGATAGTTTTCGTTAAACTCAGATTAAATAGATTAAATAGATTAAATAGAAAAAGTTAATTAAACTAATAAGAAAATTGCAAATATTTTAAACATATTTTATTTATTGTTTTTTTGTTTTTTGTTTTTAATTTTTTTAAAAATTTAATTTGTTTTTATTAATGATTGTATATATATATATGTATATATATATAAATATAAATATATATATATATATATATAATATGTTAAAAACATTTAATTTTATATTAAAAATATATTCATTAATTATTATAAAATTATACTTATAGAATTTTATTTTTCAAATATAATTAATTATAAATAAATAGAATAGTCTTAATTTATAAAAGAATTTTTCCTTCATATAAAAAATTTAATTTTATTTTAATATTTTAATAGTTTGTTTAAATATATGTAATATATTAAGTTTTTTATAAATATAAATGCAATTTTAATAATTATCAAAAATATTTTGATATATTTAATATAATGAGCATATTATTTATTTGTATTATTATTTTTTTATATAAAAATTATTATTTTTATTTATATGATCTAATATTATACATAATTAAAATTAAAATATCTCAATTTTTATGCTTATTTGTTATCACATATTTTATTATTCATAAAAATTAGCATTTTTAATTATTTTTTATGTCTAAAAATATTAATACATAATATTTTATATTAATTATTCATTGAGAAACATAAATATTACATGAAAATAACTAAAAATTCAATATAATTATAATAAAATTTATATTAATATAAAATAATAATTATAATATATTTCAATTTCGATAATTTTTTATATAATTTAGATAAAATAAAAATATAATTATTATATTTAAATGCTCTTTATTATTAAATCTATAAATTAATGTATTGATTATTAAAATATAAATCTCTTTTTTAAAAAAAATTAATTAAACTTTACAATATATATTATTTATATTATTTATTTATATGTTTATAAAAAACATTAATAAAAAGTAATTATTAAAATTTATTACAAAAGAATAAAATATATTTATGGAAAAAATCCAAAATTCTTTATTATGAATATGTAAATATAAATATAAAAAAAAAAAATATAAAAAAAATTAATAAATAATATTTATATATTTATATATATATATATATATTATATTTTTATTTATTTTATTTTTATTATATTATAGTGTTTTTACTTATTTTTTATTTTTTTATATTTTCTATTTAATTATTTAGATTATAATAAATTAAGTTAATTAATAATTTCTTCATTTCTATATTTTTTATATTTCAGCTAATTGCTTTTATTTTTATTTTTAACATAATTATTTAATAAAAATGCATTTTTTAACTTCAGAATAAGGAGAACAATAAAAAATTGAGAATCAAATTTCTGAAAATGATTTATCTGATATAAGTTCTAAATATACTTAACATTTAAATGTCATTAATATAAATTCTTAAAATTTAGATATTGAATATTAAATTCAATAAAATTTTTAATAATAATTTGATGAAGTAAAGAATTTCCAATTATGTAGTGATAAGTTAATAACATTATTTTTTTAAATTTAAAACGGATTTAAATTATAGCAAGAAGATTTTCAAGAATTAAATGATTGTGAAAGAGTTTTTATTAAAAGTATTGAATTAAAATATCTAAAAGAACAATAAAACAAAGAAGAAAATACATAAACCGAATAATTTAATTAAGATATAGTATATTAAAAATAAAGGAGAAGAAGAAAATAAAAAAGAGATGAAGAAAATGAGAAATTTATATTTAGAAAATGTTTAAAATATATAAGAAATAATTTTTTTCAAAATCATTTAAAGAATTGTAAAAAAAACAAAAATAATTATAAAGAATTTTATGAATATTTCTTTTAAAATGTATCCAAATAAAATAATATAAAAATTAATAATTTTTATGAACCTTCTAATACTTTTTTAAAATCTGGATTAAAATCCTTTAGTAAAACATATATATTCAATATTTTATCCTCAGATGAGTTTTATTAATAAGCAAAATAATATATAGAAAATGAATTCCAATAAATAATGAACAAAGAAATGAAAAAGAAAATAAATAAGCTTATTTAATGTTGCCAAAAAAAGGTGACTGAATCTTTTTAGCTCACTAAAAAAAATAAATAACTAATTATTAACTAAATATAAAATTATATTCTTTAAAATCCCAAATGTAAAATTCCTTGGAATAATTATTAAGTTAGCTAAGCTATTTAGCATGCAAGGAAATTATTATAATTTATATAAGTAGTAAACAGATGAATAATAATAACAATAAAATTAACAAAATAAACAAAGATATTTAAAAGGAGAAAATTATATATTTTATAATGAATGTGGTAATAATTAGCTTTGTGAAAAATATTAATTTGACTAATAAAATAATTTCTAATATATGGAATAAAAAATAGACAATAAATGATAATTTTATAATTATTAAATATTTATATATATATATATATATAAATATTTTTTTTTTTTTTTCATAAATATAGATATTATTTTAATTCGGTTATTTTAATTAAATATATATATTTATAAAATATATATATATATATATTTATTTAGATTTTTATAATCAAAAATAAATAAATATATATATATAAAATAAATAAATGAATTAAAAACTTATATTTATACTATCAACTCTATTTGCATTATCCATATAAATTATACCTGAAACTGATATCTAAAATATAGAACCTATTAAAGTCTAATTGGATGATGTAATTCTTACAGGATGGCCAAATTAGGCTTTGGAATTAAAATTTGATGAAGATCTATATGATATCTATTCTATATAACTAACACATAAATTATCTGATGTAAAAATATGCTTAAAACAAACAAAAATATATATAAATTTTATTTAAAATTAGGGTACAAGCTTAGTAGAAGAAGAACTTGATAATGATAAAGTCTTTAAAAGCTAAGATTTAAAGAATTTAGGAGGATGTCGAACACACTAATCTAAAGCAACAATAGATTATATTTTCAGAACCACAGCAGATTTCTAAAATAACAATCCTTTCGAAAGATTTAAAGACGTATTATTATTCGAATAATAAAGTAAGATATTTATAACTACGAACACCTTCAGAGTTTATTAAGTAAAAACAAAACAAAACTAACTTATTTAAACAAATAAAAAATTAGTTAACATATAGCAGTATCACTTCAGAATAAATAGATGATGTATCAGTTGATTTTTCTACAGAAAGCAACTTTTATACATCTTTAAATCCTCCATCTGACAAATTAACAGAAGGAGAAACAAGTGTTATTTAAACTAGTGCTATTCAATATTAAAACTATGGATTTATTTTCTGTAAATATGGTGCAGTTAGATTTAATGCTATTGGAAGTACCAGTTTAGTAAGAAACGACTTTATTGCATAAAAAGAGTTTATTTAAAGAACTAATGTTAATTCAGTATATAAAGATGAGTAAAATTATGTTTATGTTGTCACTAGTGAGGGTATTGATATTTATACTATTGATGAATCTTTCAGTCTAAAATAATTTAGATAAATACTTCTTTAAGATTTAAAAAAATATCATTTAGTATAAAGAATGGATATTTAATAAATATAAGTTGTTCAATAAGATGATATTACACTTATTTTGCTTTTAGAAAAAGACTTTGGTATTCATGTTTTATAAAATATTAACTATAATGTACCTTGGGTATATAGATACTTCATTTTATTAAAAGGAATTTAAAGCTTCGATGCTACTGGATATACTATTGGTGTTGTAATGCATTCTAAAAACTATAAATTTGGTCTTGAATTGTTTTTTGACTATAGCACCTATATATAAAATTAGTAAATAATAAAATATTAATTTTAAAAAAAAAAAAAACTAACAAATAAAATATTTAAATTTATATAAAAAGTATTGAAGATAATGAATTAGAAGTCTCAAGTATAAAATTAGATCCTAATAGTAGAGTAGGTATTTGGATGAGTGAAGATATTGGAAAAGTCTTTTCACATTCAATACTAAACTAAAATCTTTAAGCAAATAGAAATAACTATGAAAACTATTTCTAAATGTAAGGAGATACTTAAATCTAATTCTTAAAATATAATGAAGATACTACTTATATTTTCGCACTTGGAAGAAAATACTTAGAATTATATGAATTAATTAAAGTACCTTCTAGAATTATATGCTCTAGTTCTGAAAGCCTACTCAATCATGATTATTAAATTGTCTTCCATTCTACTAAATGTGAAGATAAAGACTTCAATAAGGATAGTGAAGATGTTAAAGGAGTTTAAAGATTTTTCTAAATGTGTGAAGTTTCTATGAATTTAAAATATAAAACTAAATAAGCGTTAGTTGATTCTGGAAATTTGGGAGTCATCCTAGGTGTATTATTGCCATTTTTATTTATTTTAATGGCTGCTATCATATATTACGGATGGAGATATCAAAACGAAAAAAAGGCTATTTTGGTTTTAGAATCTGACAAAAGAAGATATTATGAAAGCGTTACAGATAATAATTAATGAAAAAAAAACATATACATATATATATAAATATATATATATATATATATATATATATATATATATATATATATTAATTAATTGTTATTTATTTAAAAAAAAATGGAGTGTTTTAATTTTTATTTAAATATTATTTTTTTTTAAATAGAAATATAAATTGTATTAAAAATTCAGAAATAATTATTACATTTAATTTAATTAAATAAATTTATAATAATAAAATAATACTATAAAAATATCAAATAAATTTATATCAATATTATATTTTAAAATTAATTTATTATAGAAATATTTTCACATTTAATGTTTTTTTTTTTTTTATTTAAAAAAACATATTTTTTATTATAAAGAAAAAAAAAAAAAAAAATTAATTAAATTTATTTAAATTAATTAAAAGAAACAAAAAAACTACAATATAATGTTTTCATTAAGAAAAATAATCCCTTAATAAAGATTATTTAAAAATATTTTAGGATATAATATATTTAATTTAAATTCTTAATAATCCTAGAATTAAATATAAAGTGTAGAAGGTAATAAACCTCCACAAGTAAAATAGATAAATATTATAATATAAAAAAAACAAATTAAAAAAAAGGTTGAAGATAGCATATAAGGAAAATATGCAGGAGTATTGTTTTAAAGTGCAAGCTCTTAAAGCGTATTACATTTGGTAGCTGATGACATGAAATACTTTTAAGAATTAAACTAAGAAAGTGAAGTTTTTAGATAATTTTTAAGCAATGTTTCATTAAAAAGAACTGAACAAAGATAAATTTTGGAAGCTTTAGGAAAAGATAGTTTTTCAGAAGTAACAAATAATTTATTAGAAACTTTAGTTGAAAATAAAAGACTTGATTAATTACCCAAAGTTGCTGAAAAATATATAGAATATTACAGAATTTTAAATAAATAAGAATCTATAACCATTATAAGCGCAAAAGAACTTAATTAAGAAGAAAAAGATAAAGTCGAAGATGGTTTAAAAAGAGGAAATTAAGGAGTTTAATTTACAGTTACTTATTAAGTTGATTCTTCTATTTTAGGTGGTTTATAAATGTATTCAGGAAAAAATTTCTTAGATTGTTCTTTACTTTCAAGAATAAATAAACTAAAAAGTGAAATAATAAAAATTTCATTTTGAAAGAAAATTTTATTATTTTATTTCGATTTAGAAATATATATATATATATATATATATATATATATATATATATATATATATAATTATTTTTTTATTCATATACATATATTAGTTCTTTTTTAATATAATTTAAAAAAAAATATATATATATATGTATTTTATAAAATAATTACTCATTAATTAATACACAAAATATAATTATTTTACGTACATTTTGATATATTTAATAAATTATATTTAATAATCATTAATATAAAATAAAAATATAATTTGCTTTTTAAAAATTATTATTAACATTTTTTTAAATATTACATATAAATTATGTATTTTATTTTCATTATATTTATTACGTAATTTTTTACTTAATCTTTCACATAATATACATGAATTTATTTTTATTGTTTTATAATATTACCTATAATTATTTTTAAATTTTATCCTTATTTATAATCTTCAATTATTTTATTTTTTTCTTTCAAACAATTTTAATTATACCCAAATATAATATAACTGATGTATGAAAACTTATGTATAAATTTCTAACATTTATTACTTATTATATTAATATTTGATTAAAATAGATTGGTTTTAATGAAAAATACGTTGAAAATGATGTAAATATTTTAAGAATGGAATAGTTTAGGTATTATTTTTTTAAAAAACTAAGAATTAAATTAAAGAGAGAAATAATACATATATTAATTTTTTTAGATGAATCAGTTTGTATAAGAGACTTAAGTTAAATGTAAAGATCAATGATGTGGATATAAGAAATTTATATAAATAAGTTTTTTTCATGTTACATTTAAATATAAAAATAAATAATATAACAAATAAATAGGAAAGAAAAGAGAAAAAAAAAATAAAAAATTGTACTAAGATGATATTTGCAAGCCTAATGATTAATTTTTTTATTTTAATTAAAAAAAAAAATGTTATTAAAATTAAAAGATTTAATGTTTAATAATAAAAATAGAATAAAATAATTTTTTTAATTATAATATAATTATAATATAATTTAATATATATATATATATATATATATTATATAATAATTATATTACTTTACATTATAATAAAATTTTAAAAACTTTTAATAAATAATTATATTATATTATATTTAAAATTATATAAAGATAATTATTAACATATATTAAGATGATATTTAAAATCTATTTCAGTATATTAATTGGTTAATTTTTAATATAAAAATTAGAATATAATAAATAAAATTAATATGTATTTTGAAAAAAAATTGAATTGAAAAATATATAAAAATTAATTTTTATTTATATATAAATTTTAATATTTAAAAAATTTAATAAATAAATATAAATATATATATAAAGAATAAAAAAATATATTAAAATTATAAATCAATTTATTAATATTGTCCCTTAAAAATAAAAAATTAATATTAGTTTTAAAAAAATGTATAAACTTTGAATAAAATATAAATACATTTGAAATGATAAAGTTTTATTTTATAAAATATATTAAAATTAATAATTTTATTTTTATAAAATAAGTATATAAATAATAATTTTAATATATTAATATATATATTATAATAAAAAAAATTATTATAATATATTCTAAAATATTAAATCATTTAATAAGTCTTTCTAAAAGTAATAGAAATAATATCATAATAAAATCTATAAATAAAATTTATTTTATTTATTGATAATATTAACAATAAAAATGTTATTGAATATAGTAAATATAAAAAAAATAATAAAAATAAATATTTATAGATATAATTAATTGTTTAATTAAAAAATATATACATTGATAATAATAAAATAAAAATATTATTTGTAAAAACAATAAATAAAATTTTAAATAAGGTTTAATTCTTTAAATAATTTTATTTAAAAAAAAAAAACCAAAAAATAATTATTAAAGAAAATATTTTAAATAAATCTTAATAAAAATTAATATTATTATTATAAATGTATAATATGATTTATATTTTTTTTTTATATTTATTAGAATTTCCATTTATCAATTATATAAAAAATAATATAAATATATATATATATATATATATATATATATATATATATATTATTATTATTATTTATTTTATTATTATTATTATTATTA